CCAAAATGGACTTACCAATGAGGAGTTTTTTTTTTTTTTTTTTTTTTTTTTTTTCAATGAGCTTGAGAGTAGAATATAAGCAATGGAGCAAGCAGGCTAAATTTAGAATCAACAGTTCTTGCCAACAGAGGTATGTCTCCAAGAGTAGGAGTAGTCACAGTTTTTCCGTTTCCCTTTTTCTTCCCCCCAGCCTATTCGAAAAGTACCACATACTAGCGAGCCTAGCTTAGTCGGTACACCCATGAATTGTAGAAATACACACTTAAAATAAAACAGTTCTGCAACAACTGGTTGGGGGGGGGGACATGGGGGGTTGGTTTGCAAGGGTGGAATGGGCAGGGGAGGGAAGAGAGAGGGTTCACGAGCGGCTCAGAAGGGACTACAAGATCTGTTTCAATAACTGGACAGAAATCGTCCCCTTAATCCCAATGCGTCCCCTATCCGAATTTCCCAACCCATTACCCCCACCTCCCCTGTCTTTGGTTGATAGTCAATGGTTTGGGCTGGAATGAGTGGATGGGGGGAGGAATCAGGAGAGTATCAGGAGGCAGCAATAGCTGCAGAATAGCAAGTGGCAGTGGTTTGGGCTGGAACGAGTGGATGGGTTAAGGAATGCAGAGGGAATCAGGCAGGGGGCAGCAGTAGTAGCAAAATGGCAAGTGGATTTGTCACTAGCTGCTTCAGTACCTGCGCAGGCAGTGGGCTCAGGTTATTGACGTCTACAGTGGGCTCAGACTTTTCATGTACTTATTTTCGTTCATGTTTCCGTTCATGCTTCAGATGGGACGCTGGGCCCGGTTCCCAGCGCGTGCTGCTCCCCACGAATAGATTGGAGTTGTCTCAAAAAAAAAAAAAAAAAAAGGTTTCCCAGCCAGTTTTGTCCAACGCGCCCTGCATGAGGCTGCAAGTTTCGAGGGATGGCATACCAGAGCAAAATGGCTGGTGGTGCCAGCCAAAAGGAAGCCCGGGCCAGTTTGTTTTTTTGGGGGCACGCGGGGCGTTTTTAGCCCCGGGCAAAAGTGCTTCGGAAGTACTGGTCTTTTTTTAACTTTTTTTTTTTTTTTTTTTTCCGATTCCAGATGGGAGAACTAGATGAATGAAATCAATTATTTCTGAATTACCTAGGCCTGGTCGGTTCAATGACAATGTCTCACGGCCATCTCCCTTTTTTTCAAAAGTATAAATAAATAAAGGGGAAACTACGCGGGAGTCACAAAAAGGAGTTATAATTGCACTATGGGCCAAGATACAGTTTCAAATTGCAGTTTGGGCAATGTATACAACCCAGTTTTCTGGCCGGGTAAGGTGCCCGAAGTGCAATTGCAAACTGTATCTTGCCCCACAGTGTAATTATAAATAAACATACCACATCACATTGGTTGCGCGACAACCCATCTTGAGGAAGAGCTGTGTTGTTGTCATTGCTCATGACAGCGACAACTGACTGAGGTGAGCATTCTCTGTGGGGAGGATTAGTTTGTCTCTTTTCCCCCTTTTCTTCTATATTCTTTTTGCCACGTGGTGCACAGTGGATCACATTTTCTGCGTGTCAAAAGAAAAAAAAAAAAAAACATTTTCTGCATGTCATCATGTTTAAGGGGGTAGATTTGTTGGGAGCGGAGGTGGAGTGAGGAG